CCCTCGCTGTGCTCCGGCCCTCGCCGCAGCGGCCCCGCGTGCCCAGGACCGGCCCTGGGGGGTCTTTCTGTGCCACGTTAAGGCTTTGCTCTGCCCGGTGCTAGTCCTGCCTGCCCGGGTCCTTGCCAAGGACGTGGCTCTGCTCTCCGTATGCTTTTCCGTGCGTTTTGCAGATGCTGCTGCATCAGACCCAGGTTTGAGAGAGCTCCAGAGCCAGGAAAGAAAACTCGGGTACCTGGTGAACGTGGGAGCGGAGGCGGTGGCTGGCGATCAGCTGGGGCAGGTCGTGGGCGATCTCCATCCAGGGGCCGTAGGGTGCCGGCAGCTCTGTCTTGGTAGAGGGAGGCGGGGGGAGGGCTGTTAATGAGCAGCCTGGCTGCACCCCCCGCTGCAAGGCTGCGACTCCTCTCCCCCGGCTCCTGAGCGGCTCAGGGCTGCGTCCAGGGCTCAGTCTGGCATCCGCAGAGCTGGATGTGGGGCTGTGCAAGGAGCAGGGATGGGCTGAGGGGACAAGGCAGCCCCCTTCCCTGTGCTGGGCCGGGGTGACACTCTGCTGCTGTCCCCCTTCGCAAGACACTGGCGGAGGGGTGAGAAATGGGACCCTGGACACTCCGGCGTGGGCAGGTTGGGGGGGACACACACATACAGGTCGCAGCACACGTGGCACTGCCAGCGCCAAGCCTGGGAAGAAGTCACGGGGTTAGAGGGGACGCATGGGTTGGGAGAGCCGGGCTCTGGGGGGTGGAGGGGAGCACGTCCCTGTGCACCCGTGGGCCGGGGCCTTGTGCCGGCCACGGGATGGCCAAAGCAGCCGCGGCTGGAGCCCGTCTGTCCCGGGGGGCAGGGGAACCCCGTGCTGGGCTACGGGAGGTGCTGGGACGGGAGCAGGAGGGAACAGAGGGCTCGGAGATAAGCCCAGCCCTGAGTAAACTCATCGGAGCTGAGGCTGGCTGGGAGACAACACCCAAACCCTCCGGCCAAGCTCCTGCCTGAGGGGACGGGACGGGGGTGAACGCCGCCAGGCCGGGCTCCCACCATCCATCCGGCCTAACGGCTTGTCTGGTTCCCCATCTCGTGAGAGCAGCCTGTGAATTATCGGATGATAAACGCGAATCTGCCTGTCCCCGAGTGCTGCCGCCGCGAAGGGAGCCCGGTGATATACGGCCCTGCTCCCAGCACGGGGATCTGCAGGCTGACTGCTCGCCACGTACTCCCTGAAATCCTGCAAAGCCAAGGCCGTGAGAATTGCAGAGAACTGCAGAGAATTGCAGAGAGAGAATTCCTTCTCTCCACCTGCCGCTTGCTGCAGCCAGTTTAATCATTTTTAAAGCGAAGGGTCTGTCCTATGAAACTAAGCCAAAAGAGCATGCGCCCTCCTCACTGCTTTTTACAAACTGTTTTAGAGTAGCATCAAACTGAAGCCCAACCAGAACGCCGCTCACCAACCCCTCTATTTTCCTGTTCTCTGTCTCCTGTAGCAAGCAGAGGCGGCGGCACAGCCATCTCCTACCAGAGGATGGGGAAGGAGGAAGCCGTACTCCTCGGAGAGCTGGAACCTTGCCAGTGCCAGAGGCAGCGGGGTCTCCTCAGCGCCATCGCCGGGCTCCATCACCGAGCGCTGCCCACAGGGTCGGGACGTACTGGGGCTCGGTGGGACACACGGCTGCCCCGGTATGTGCTGAGCCAGCGCCGCGTGGCCCGGCGCAGCCGCGTACCTTGTCCTGGGGGGAGCCAGCGCCCGGCTGCCCAATGGCTGGAGGGTCCGAGCAAACACGGTTAAAGGTCACCGATAAGGCGTTGTTGTGGAGCAAACTGTGATCCCCGTCCCCTGTCCCGCGCCAGGACCCCTCGGGGCTGCAGGGATGCTCCGGGCGCTCTGGGCCGCTCAGTCGCGCTAACTCTGCAGCCGGGTTCCCCGGATCCCGGTGACACCAAACTCACGGCCGGGGAGAACTGAGCACCAGCCACATCTTGCCCGCACCCGTGGCCTCCACAGGCCCCTGGGACGGCCCGGAGGGACCGGTGTGCTGGTGGCCCTGGGAGCTGCCGCGGCTCCCGTGGGGCTGTGTGTGACACCGCGGTGCCAGGGGACCTCTGTCCCTGCAGGACCCACACGCGAGGCACACGGTGCCCCCAGGCTCGCGGGAGCTGCTGCCGCCGTGCGCGCTGACAACACGCCCAGCGCAGCCAAAATAAAGTAACGGGAGCCACGACCAAAGCAGCTGCCGCAGAAGTAAGCACCCAGCAGGGAGTGGAATCCCTAATCCGGGCGTCTGTCACTTAAGGGTTCATCTGCATTTCCAGGGAACTAACGGCTGAACGTGAGCGGATGCCGCCGTTAATTCCCAGCGCCAAAGCGCAGGACGGTGACGGTGACAGCGCCGGTGGCAGCGCCCAGGGACGCAGAGCCGAGGCTGATGCACGGGGGTAATTAGACCTCCGGGCAAGGAGGGTCTGCGGGCGTCGGGCCTAATTGCGAGGCCCGGGAGCAGAAGTGCTGGGTGGTTAACGCTGGTGCTGCCGTCTGGGCAGAGACGATGACACGAGGCTGAAAGGGGCCTCACAGCCGCCGTTTCCCCATGCTGCCGCGCGCTGCCGCCTCTGTCCCCCCCCGCAGATCGCTCCCTCCTGGCAGCGGGTGCTGCTGTCGCCGCAGCAACGCGGTGCTAGGGCCATTCGCTCTCTGCACCCCAGGGACCATGGTGTGGTGCCCCCGTTACTGCTGCCAGCACATCTGTGCCCCCAAATCCCCCACCCCAACAAACCTGCCCGGCTGCCGCCTCCCCAGGCACCTTTTGGGGCAGCCGCAGTGGGACGGTGACCTGGGACAGCACCTTCAGCCTGGGGGGAGAGACCCACGGGGGGGCCCCATCACCCGATGTGTAACAGTACCAGCCTGGCGGGAAGCAGAGGCAGACGGAAGCGTCTTGGACAAAACCGGCACCTTTATTGCTCGTTGGTGTCTTACAGAGGGGCCGGTGCCAGCCCTTAGGCAGAGGCCGGCAGGCTGGGGAGCGATGTGTCCCTGGGGGAGCAGGGACGGGGCTGGGGGCTGGCTCAGGAGCAGGACACGGGCATGGCTCCGCTTCCCCGGGAGCCCCGCGGGACTCTCCGAGAGGGAAGTCAGGGGCCACCATCACCCCCAGTCCCGGGAGAGCGGAGCTGGTCCCGTGCAGGGGGTCGCTTCTACCAGCCGCCCCTTCGCCGCCTGACGCCCCCACCCCACAGACGTGGCCAAGGTGCAGGCTGGAAGTATAAAAACTCTTTGTCTTTTAAAAGGCACCGTTTTCAGCACAGTTTTAGATCTCACATACAGCTTCAAATACAGTTCAGTTCTGCCTCTCTCCCACCCGCCAGACCCCTTAGAGACAGACAGACAGACGGCCCCAGGAGCAGGGTACAAGAGAAACGAGGGAGTGATTATCCCAGAACAAACAGAAGACCCCCACAGATACATCTGGTGATATCCTAGGCGATGTTTTACATATTTTAATAGTGTTATAAATCGTAGTCTAGGTTTATAGGAAATCACAGGAGTTCAAGTATTTCATTACTGCAAATTCAAACACTATATATATATATATATATTTATATATGTATGTACAGAGGAAAATATATATTTTTTGCATTATTAAGGGGGATTTTACAGACTGGCTTTGTACTCAGTGGCTACTGCAAAGTAAAAAAGCCAGGCCCTCTTTTCAGAACTTATTCACTTTTAGCAAGTTTGTGCAACAGATTCCTCTCTGTGACTGCCCCGTCCAGCTGCCCCAGGGCACGAGGGCGTCACCACGGGCTCCGCAGGCCGGAGGCTGAGCACTCCTCCTGGGACAGAGGTTAAACCCGGCTCGGGGGGCAGGCGAGGTGGTGGCACCCCCATCCTGACTGACACCAAAGGGGCTGGCCCCGGGCAGAGCAGCAGTTCTGGCCTCCCAGCGTTCTGCAGGGACTGCTCCTCAGTCTTCAGATCCAAATTAAAATCTAAAAGCAACCCTTTTTTTTAAAACCAGAATCTGGCCACGTCTCTTCGTACCTTTATGTTCACTGCCCATTCATGGTGTTAGTGGGAATTAGTAGAGGATTTTCATTTAGCAACTCACAAGAACTACCTTAAAACCATTAAACTCAGTGTTGGTATAGCACAGCTCAGTGTCAGTCAGCATGAAAGTAAGAATTTAAGTGCATTATTACACATCAATAAACATATATACATGCATAAACATGTTTACAATATATTTATCTTCCTCTGAAAAAGTACAGACACCTTATTCCACTTGTGCCATTAATGTGTAAATGCAGAACGTTTTCCAGTTCATGCCAAATAATTTTAAATTGGCCAGATTTCCTTGTTTGGCAAACGGTCCGGGTTAGTCAGTTCTTCACTGTACATTTAAAAAGATGACAACGACTCAGACAATTTCATTACCAGGGCTGAGCAGAGGATCGGGGAACCAAAGGCACCTCCCAGGCGCTGCCCCTCAGCGGTGGTTTCCCCGCGGGCGGCTCCGTGCCCAGCTGGAGAGCCCTGGCGCAGGCCACAGGGCCACAGCAGGTCCAAGAACGGGTCAGGTGTTTCCAGCTCCTGTAGCTTTGGTAGAGGTATTTTGTTTAAAAGTTTTACATTCCTCGTTCCAATATCGCATTTGCCTTATCCCAGGCTGCAGAAGGAAGCGTTCCGGGATTACCACGGGCCACTCAAGGCAAGAAGGAAAACTGCAATTCCAGCTCTGTCTCAGTGAACACGTCAGCTCACGGGAAGGCCCCAAAGACGCCAAAAGCTATTTGGGAGGCAAAGGTGCCGGTCGAGAAGGAAAATAGTGTCCCTGAGGTAAACATTTCTGCTGTGGCGGAGGAGGGCCCTGAGGTACAGGCTTCTGCTGCGGCGGCGGCGGCCTGCGGGAGATGGAGAAGCCGCCATCAGCAAGATGGGGGCACCCGCAGGGACGTGCCCCCTCCCGCCGGAGAGCCGGGGTCAGCCTCTGCCTCCCACTGCCCGGAACCCGCAGGGGACACACACGCGCCCCCCCGTTTTCCCCAAAGGGCCAAGAGGCCCCGCGGGCGCCCGCCCTCGCGCTCCCTGCGGCACTGCGGCGTGGAGCAAACATGGAAAGGGAAGGAAAACTCTGTTCAAAGTTAGTGCGAAACCATCCTGAACTCGGCAATAACGGTCACGAATCAGCGCAAGGACAGCTTTTTCGTAATTTCTTTTTAAACCAGGTGTTCTGGGAGGCGTTTTGTTCACCCGCAGGCAGGGCTGGCCTGGCCCAGCAGAACATTCTGGAGCCCCCAGCCCAAGCGTGGCTGTGGCAGCGCAGGAAGCGCTGCAGGCGATGGCGCCCCGGCTCCAGGGGGAACTGAAGGAGAAACTCCCTTCAATAAAAGGTCAGTGCTGCTTGCACGTGGTGTGTGATCATGGTGATGATTCTATTAAATCACACAATAACACTGCACTAGATGATGATGTTTATAACACACGAGGATTATTTCACCACCCACGTGACCTCACACCCACAGAGACGAAGGCAGCGACAACCCACAAACACCAGCACAACCACCGACTGTTATCTGCACCAACTCGACCCACCTTGTCGGCAGCTTCTGCGCCTGCGGTGCCTGGTACTGCGGCGACGGGTAGTAGGACTGGTGGTAAGCCTGCTGAGGATACTGGTTAACTGGGTACGATGGAACAGGAAAGGTATTTGGTTCCACATCCTACGAAGAACACATAACGAGAATGTTCATAAATTCGCACACAGGGAACTGAAATATTTGTTGAATTAGTTAAGTGACATTTAAGACCCCTTGCGAACAAACCTGGGAACATCGGAGTTGCTTTTTCCCTCTGAGAAACTCAGTAGAAAGAAGCAGCAGCAGTGTGGAAAGTACCGTATTTTGGAAAAACAGAAAGGCTGATGATGACCTGGATGGAAGCGCTGGATTTGTTCTGCAGGGGTGCTCTGGGTAGTTCCTGCACTGGGAACTGGCCGGAGAGGAGCGGGGCAGGGGAGCTGCCCAGGACTGCTAAGGGGCAGCAAGGCAGGAAAACTGCTCACCCAGCCAAGCACAGCCCGAGGGGACTGAGGAGTTCCAGCCCCCCACCCTAGGAAACAATTCTTCTCTTTGCCTCTTTTCAAAGAGAAACCCCCATTTGCAGAAATGAAAAATTAAAGTAATTTTGAAGCTTTTATTAGGGCAACAATTACATGAAGTGCCTTCACCTGTTAGCTTAGAGTAAGAGACAGGCAATGAAGACAGGAAAAGCAGATCATTCCTACCGTGGGAACACCTCTGGGGGCGTAGGGCATGCCCTGGGAAAATCCTCTGGGGTGACAGTCTCTTGGTTCAGCTTCTGTTCTAGGAGGTGGCGACTGAATCGACCTGAAATCCGATTGAGAAGGACGGGGTGAGCACAGAACCCCGACAGAGTGACCATGAACCCAAGCACTGCAGACCTGCTGGACGGATTTACTTCATCTCAGCACAGAGCACATCTCAGGAAGACATGATTTGCCACAGATTTAATAAACATCATCACCCTTTGTCTGCTTAGGACTACGATGGCTTCATTTTGCCACTTTATACCAAAGATGGGACCCAAAAATATAGAACTCATCAGCAGTGCACGACAGCAAACAGAACAGTAAAAAGAGAATTCTCCGCTCCCTCGATTTCAGATGAATTTCTCTTCTCGGCCTGGGGCAAGCTACGTGCATCGTTTGATGCAGGGGCCTTCGTCTGACATCGTGGGACTGGAATACGCCTCCACGCTTTAGCACTGGCTTGTGCAAAGAAATGTTTGCAGACTGCTTCAAAAGGGCAGAGGAGAGGGTGAAAAGGAGAAAGTACTCACGAATGGCAGCGTGACATTAACCTTCTGTAGCATCGCTTCAGCCTGTCTCTTTTTGCAAATGCCAGAGCAGCAGCTACAAGGAGCGGGAGGACCAGGAAAAAAAACACCAGTAGCCCAGTTCTCAGCGAGTTGTCTTTGATGGGGACAAAATGATGGAGGAGAAAAAACAGCATTACATGGTGTTATCATCACTTGGCTCATTGTAGCAGTGAGTATTTGGTAGGATTGGTTCTAGAACTGATTTTCCTTCCATTTTTCATAGAATAAAACACTAAAGAATCTAGCAAGCCTGCAAGATATAAACCCAGATAATATTATTTCCTGATTATCTTTTCACTGGGATTGTTTGGTCAAAGACGAATGAACCGTACGTGCTGTGACACCCTGGGCTATACCAGCATGCTCAACTACTAGATCAATACCCAGTTGTTCTTCCACTACATCACTACGAAGATCTTCAGAGCTCAATTGAAAGAAAGGAAAACAGAGCTTCTGCCCCTTGGTCTGATCCTAAATCTTCCTACCATTGTTTGCTGTAGGCAAAGAGCTCAGGTTCTTAATCTCCACATTTTTATATGCAGCAAATTTCTCCACTGCAGGCTGTAACAAAAAAAAAAGCGCCTTTCCCTTTTTTTGCCTGATGACTTGAGGCATCTGTCCATGCTCCGAGGTGACCGCCCAGTCTGTTACCGCATCAACTGTGGTCCTGCTCCCCCCACACCCAACTCTTTCCTACCAGAAAGTCCTGGAGATCGTTCTTGCAGCTCACAGAAGGGATTACATCAATCCTGTCTTTACCTATTGCACACGGGCACTGCGCAAGTTTTCTCCAACTTATACCCTGGATTTGGCTTCCTACTTCATCTTCTCAGTGAGAGAAGCCTGACAGCCTCTTATATTCCCTCCGCGGGGCTTCCCCACTCCTCCATTCACACACAGATACACCATCCTGCCCCAGCGCCTTTCCTGGGGGAAAAACTACATAAAACCCCTCACAAAATTCCTTCCCCAAGCTATCTTTTCCCTCCACAAAAAAAAGCAGGAGTCTGCAAACAACAGAGCATCACAAGTCTCCCCGTTTCTCCATCGCATCCCTCTTCCACAGCAGGAGCTGTCTGGGGCAGGGACTACATCTGCATTTGCTACCAAAGCAAGCCAAGCGTGCTGTCCGTACATTTATATTTTCCCACCTAAACTTCAATGGAACGTGACTTCTCAGCGGCGCCGCCCCTCAGGCAGACACCAGTGCCCACCATGGAGGGCTCCGCCGCCAGCCCCAGCGGGTCCTTGTGGAGATGCAGGTTCCCATCCTGAACCCGCAGCCTGAGCCAAACTCCACGGTTGTTTGGCTCCAAGAACAGGAGGGCTCAGTCCCCAGCTTGGCCCCAGGGAGGCCAAGAGGCTCTCGGCCCGCGGCAGCAGAAACCCGCTAAACCGGCTGGTTTCTTCACGGCCCCCCCGCGCCTGGCAGAGGGAAGCGGCACAGCCCGAGCCCAAAACCCCCCCCGGACCCATCAGAGCGGAGGTGGCCACCGGCCCTCCGGCCCCCGCGGCCCGTGGCCCCGCGGGACCCTTACAAGCACTTGCCGTTGTAGGGCGGGCCGCTGTCCAGGCTCCCCCCGTAGCCCTTGGTGTCGCAGTGAGGGGGGGCCCAGCCCGCATCGCAGTGGCAGTTCCTGTTGTTGTTGCACACCTGTAGCCACACAAACAGCGCCGTCAGCTCCGCTCAGCACCGACAGCTTGTGGGCCCCCAGGGCAGCGGGTGGCAGCCGTCACCCCCCGTGGGGCTCAGCCCCGACACCCCGAACCGGGAACCCCCACCCCAAGCGCAAGGCTCCTCGGCCGGGCGGCCCGAGGCTTCACCTCAGCAAGCACGGCTTCCAAAGACCAGCACCCCAACGGCTTAGGGTGCAGGGCTCATGGCTTTTGCCTTTTTTTTTTTTTTTTTTTCTTTTTTTGAAAGATGCAGAGTTTCAAATTACATCAGTAATACTGGAATTGGGAAATATTCTCGCTTTACCATCTCCAGAGCTTCTGCCAAAAATTTTTTTGATCCTGTTCTAGGTTGTCTTGCCCAGAGACATTTTATAGAGAGTTTCACAGTTAAACAAAAAGGAAAAATTAAGTGACTATCCACCATTTTAAAACTCATTCAATTTACTAATTTTTCAACCAATTTTTGCTGACTGTTAAAAGCACTTTTCTCATTAACAGTACTAAAAACGAGCTTTTTATAGCAAAATTCATCCTCAAGAACCCCACAGATTTCTTTTAAATCACTGCATCTAGTATCATTCTTCATTCCAGATTAGTTACAGCCCTCAACAGAGAAGGGCAAAAGCCTTCCTAGGTGCAAAAAGGACACAACTGCAGCATCCCTGGCCCCAAGTGGGACTTCTGGCTGGAAGTGCCTGTGACACACTTGCAAGGCCATCGGCTCCAACAGTCTCGTGTTCCCTCACAAGGACTTCAGAGGACCCCGCGCAGGAGCAGCACCCAGCACCCCAAAACCTCCAGGCTGGCGGCCGCGGGCTCCCCCGACTCACCCCATGCCCGTGGCACTGGCGCTGCACGTCGCAGTCGTAGTTGAGGACGGAGGCGCTCACGCACTGGAAGTGCCGGCAGATCTGGGCAAGGGGAGAGGCACGTCGAGGAAGCAAACGGCACGCCCCAACCCCCCCCGCCCCCCCAAGCAAGGCTCAAGGCTCACACCCCGTAACAAAACCCAGCTCCGCAGGAACGTGGCCGAGCAGGCGCTCTGAGCCATCACTGGGAGCCCTGTCTCTAGTCTGAGCCTAAAGGAACAGCCACCAAGCTGCCCAGCGCGGGTCTGTGGAGTGCACGTTCCCCTGGTGGGGCCAAGCCTCCGAGCTTTCTAGTTTAGTCGGATTTTAATTGAAAGTTGTCTTAAAGGCATTTGTGTGCGCCCGGCTCTTTCTGCTCCTTGACACAGCAAAGACGCTGGCTCTCAACAAACCCGATTTTTCTTGTTTCATCTAAAAATGAGAGGCTCATTACAGTTTTATGCACAGGCAGTGCAGCACTAGGCAGCGTGGGGAGCCAATGGACTCGCTCCGTTTTGCATTAACTACAGGCACCAAAAAAACCCCCAGTCATAAATATTCACAAAATATATTATGCAGCAGAGAATTTTATTCAGGTGAACCCTCCAAATGATTACTGTAAGAAATCACTTTTGAACTGTTACTTACCTTTCCAGTATCACATTTGGTGCCCTCATTCACCATTCCTGGGTCTGGGACATCAGAGCCCAGCTGGAAATCAACACCCCAGCACCTGGTGCGTCCGATGTGAGTCCAAATGATAGCAGGCTTGATGCCAAAAACAGGCAGCGTTTCCACGTTTTCACACTGCAGCTTCCCACACATGGCATTCCTACAACACCAACATATGAACACTGTAGTGACACTTCCACTTAGTCTGAGAAAAAGCCTATCACGTATTTGATGTGATCTTGTCTTTCTACTGGAAGACTTTACTTGAAAATCAAAATGAGGCATCTCGCCAAACAAAACTGAGCCGGGCCTCCTTTCAGTGCTGCAGGAGAATGGATTTATCCCTTTGCCCAGTAAGCTGCTGGGATCTTTACGTTACTCGTTTTTCCGCATGTGGACACCCTCGGGCGGGACAGGATCAGCGAGAGGAGATGTGGAACACCATCCCCCGTGCCTGAACACGTGACACACAGGCGGGAAACTGCGGCACGAGGCCGAGCGCTTCCGCACCAGCTCCCGAGGAACCACCCGAATGTTCAGACTCGGGTCGGCCTGTGTGCAGGGGTTAAAGCCAGACAATCTAAACCAAAAGCCAACAAAACTTACAACTGTGTAAGCCTGGGGCTTTAAGCCCTAATAACAGCTTCAGAAATGAGGGTGAAACATCCACCCTACGCTCTCGCACGGCGGCTTCAGAACGATGCACACGGGGCAATGAGGGTGGGTCGTGGGACAGCACATCTCCCCGGGGCACCAATGAAACACCCCAACTAACTCCGCAGCGCCTGGAGAAGGGTTCTCAGTGACACCTTTAGGAACTTCTCGATGCGCTGGGCTCAACTCACCGGCTGGAGCATTTCTTGTAGTCGTGGCCATGGAAACCACAGTTGCCAAATCGGTCACCCTTGGAATTCACTTCAGTAAAGCAACTGCTGGGGGCTGCTTTGGCTTCTGCAAACAACAGCCCATCCCCCAGACAGAGAACCAAGTTAAACAGGGACAGAAACGTCTCAGCACCACATCTCCTCTGCCCAGAGCAATGATCCTGCTGCACCTACATTGTCCACGCAGCTCAGATGGCTTATGAACTTGATCAAAGCAATAACGAGGTGAACGTGTCGGTACTACAAGGTTCCAGGTTTAAAAAGAGGGAGAGAAGAATAGTCACTTAAATACTGAGTCAGTGATACCATCTGATATTTCTTCAGGGCTTCTTTACAGCCCTATGCACCGGCAGCCCCACTCTAACAGGAATGACCAGCGCAAGAAAATTACTATTTGAACCACCAGCAGAGCATTAAGCCTGACAAAGGAAGAACGTGTGGGGCCTGAGCCGTAAGTACCACTCCTTCAACTCCTTTGCCCAAGCCAGCGGGTCTTTGTTACAGGAAAACAAGTAACTATATTTTAAATAAACTTAGCGTATTCTTTTAGCTACGTCTCCTAGAAAAATTCTAAGACTGTGCTCTTCCTTACTTGGGCCAAAGATATCCTGACACTGGGCATCGTAGTACTGGCAGACGCCGTTGTAACAGTAGGCTTCCTCGTCGTGGCAGGGGTGACCGTTCTGGACGGTGAAGTCCGGCTGGCAAAACTGGGACGTGCCGTTGCAGTACTCTGGAAGGTCACACTCATTGTTACTCGCCCGACACTCGGTTCCTGCAGGAAGGAGCTAAAGAGAGAGGGGAGAGGGAAACCACATCAGAAAACAGGAACCAATAGCAGAGACAAACTGGCACCTGGCCCACAGTGTGCCCCCAAAACGGGCGTGGACTGAAGGCTCTGGTGGGTGCTGGTACCCAGGTGACAGCTCCCCCCGAGGTGCTGGCCAGGCCAGGGCTCCCCTCCTCAGCAGCTGAGGAACGTTTCCAGAGAACACGCTGGGGCCTCTCACCTGGCAGTTTTTACAGCAGTCGCCGTAAGCACAGTCAGCGCCGGCCCGGAGTCGGCAGGTCCCCGGCTCACAGCAGGGATCCCGCTCACACTCCTGAGGAGAGGAAAGTCGTGAGCGCCCGGGACCGTGGCGAGGGCACACGCAGCCCCCCGCAGCCTCTGCAGCACGCATGAGCCACTGACCTTCGGGGAGCCGCAGTCACACTCCTCCCCCGCGTCCACCAGCCTGTTCCCACAGTACGGGACGCTGTAGGTTTCATCAGGCCTGGGAACATTGAGCAAGCAGCTTCCCCCCTTGTTGAGAGTCAGCTTCTCAAAGTCTTCTGCACTGCAGCTGCTGAAGTTCCTCGACCCCCTGCGAGAGAGACCACCAGCTGGTCTTTGCACCAAGCCAACACACAAGCGTTCCCTCAGTTTGTGGGTCAAGGGTAACGTTTGCTTTCTCCATGAGCTGCAAGAGTGACACGACTCTGCAACCTGTAAAAACTCAGCACACAGGCAGGGAGGTCTGACCCTTCTGTCAGGTACTTACGATGCCCCAGAGCTCATAATGCAGCTGCTCGCTCCGCAGTGACAGACGCGTTCATCGTCGTGGTTCATCCCCAGGTTGTGTCCCAGCTCGTGAGCCATAATTGATGCAAACATCTGTATGCTGATTCTTCCAAACTGCACAAGAGAAAACAGAAGAAAATGAGCAGACAGTTTATATTGAGAATGTCAGCATTTATTTATGTGCCAAAAAGACACTTCTGTCATTCTGCCTCTACACTAATCGGATTCTCAGACCAACTGGGCCTGCTTTCTGACCAAGCACATGTCATTCGCTTACTACCAAGAGCCTTAAACAATCAATCTCTGGGACACTACCTGACAGTCTCTGCTCTCCAGTGCAGCTGCAACATTAACACAAAAACCAGAGTTCTCCACGCCAGCCCAAATCTCTTCAAACACGCAGACTCCAACTGCTGTACTTCTGTCACTAGTCCAAGAAACAAGATTGCCGGGGTTGCTGGTTCTCTGAGATCAGCACTTCAGCCCAGTAAACGTCTGCAACCTCCCAGCACGAGGGCGGCCAGCTGGCACTGCTCTAGGAGCTCACGACTGCGCCGGTCAAGCAAACACCAGAGGATGGATTTGAGAACACCCACAGCCCCCATATAACTTCTAAGGCAGGGGCGCTTAAAACATCCACAGGGACATCCCGGCCCTTTTTCCAGAGTGCTGCACACTGAGGGCGGGAAGCTGGGCAGAGGATGCAGAAGACTACAGAAAAGTTGTGATTCAGATATTGTGGAACTGCCAGAAACAGTTGGGGACCACATAAAGGCCCCCACCAAGCCACTTCAGCTTTGTTATTAAAAGATCCTGCGCTTCCAGGAAGACTTCTGGAGTGCAAAACTCTCATCCTGATCACACGGTATCTGTAAAGATATCTCACCACATTAATGCCTCCTGCGTGGCTCTTGGAGCACACCGTTCCAACGTAGGCCATCCCAGCTGTGCCACCAAACCCCTTCTTCCTGCAGTCACAGGGAGAAAAGGGACAGGCAATGATCCCGGCAGCACAGCCCCGCGAGCCCGCTGGCAGCACCGCCTGCTCTGCTTGTGGGGCGCCAAACGCTGCTGCTCCGCCTCTCCAGCGCCCACACAGGAGCCCGGCGACCCACGCAGGAGAAGGCACCAGCTCAGCTTCATCCTTCTGTTCACGGTTCTTTCATTCTTTTGAATTACGTCAAGTTTGCACAGAAAGTCGGCCGCTTCCACATCTTCCCTCTAAATATAAAGAGCTAACGGTCCGCCCTTGTAATCTTTTGTTTTAATTGGCTGTTGGCTGCCTTTCTACTATTGCCAAACTCCAGAGATTTCTTCCCTTGTCAACTTCCTTTTTATTATGGTCTTATTTTGTTTCTGCAGAGGTCAGAGAGGCCAAAGCCCTGACGGAATGAAATCTGGCCAGGGACGTCCAGGGTGACAAAAGCAGCTTTTAAGGTGATAAAGGGGCTGGGCCGCTGCCCCGCGCGGAGCAGCGCACTTGCCTCCCGCTCTGAGGGCCACAGGGGACGTGCCCGGGGCTCCAGTCCCTCCGGAAGCTCTGTGCTCCTCTGAGGGAGCAGGGACGGACTGACCCATGTCACGCCTCAGAGCTCCAACCGTGCAGCTAGATACCAGCAGCACAGACAACTCGCTCCACTAAAATGCAATGCTCTGCACCAGATTTATGTGCGTTTTCAAGCAGAAAATGCCCTGGATTACAAGTCTAACCAGTGTACAACCTGACAAAGGATTATCTGAATGGAAGCTTTATAACACCGCGGGACACGTGAGACAGGAAAAAAAAAATAAATTAGCAATATACCTGTCAGAGAGGACACTGAATTTGAGGACCACAGAAACCTTCTTCACAACGCTTAAATTGACTTGGGATGTTTTCACAAGTACATGAACCACAGCAGATTGCGCCGGGTTCTCTGCTGAAATACCACAGCTACTTTCGATACCAGAGCACGGCTGAGCAGGCAGGGACAGAAGAAGCTTCTTAAGAGTCAAAGGGACGGAACTGCAACTCACAGGACAAACTGGGCGCTGTCATGTCTCCGGCGCAAAACAAGATTCTTCTCCCGCCACTGTACAAAATTTGCCAGCACATCACCAGCACCTCCGTCTGTGCTAATTATGTTTTCATACTTCCAAATCTCTAGACCAACCAGCACAATGCGGATGTTCAGCATGATGTACATCTGGGGAGGACAAAAAAGGAGAAATATTTCTGAAGACCTTCAGATAAGAAGTAGTGGTCTGGTGTTGTGTGTCTTACTGCAAGATTCTACTTTTTCTGTTTGGGTTTTCTGCGTTTGTCTTCTTTGGTTGTTGGGGGTTTTTTTAAGTTCACGGTTCAAATCACCAGGATGCATTTTCCCTGTGATTCAGACCTTCATTAGCTACAGGATCAATGAGAAAATCCAAAGCAGAAGAAAAAAAAGGAGTCTCACTCCTGACAGATAGCTTTGTCTGAAATAGTCAAGTTGAAAGACATGCTTTTTCTCTGACCTTGACAAATACTTAAAATTGCAATAATTGGAGCCACCTGTCCCATCTCCACTGTATGTAGTACTGGTTGGAAGAGTTCCCTAAATTAATTCTCAACTATGAAAGCTGCAGGTGAATTTAGCGGTGGAAAAGCTTTCCCAGCGACGCACTCGCCAGAGCCCACTGTCAGTATGGCCGAGGGAGCAGGCTGGCTCCTGGCCTGACAAAAGCCTTTATCTTATTCTCGTGGCAGTGGTAAGAGAACAGACTCCGAGGTGGAGGTTTACACAGGCGAGCAGAGCTGCAGGGCTGCTGCACACAGCACGGCCCCGCCGCGGCTTCCACTTACGCTGTCGAGGAAGTTGGCCAGCTGCACCATGTGTTCCCTTACTTCTGTCTCACTCTTCCCAAAATCTTCAAACTGCGAGACAGAGAAACTTAGTCATGAAGAGACAAAGACAAGAGTTAAAACAAGGAACAAAACTTTTAAAGATTAGTTACGTGATAAACGTATTTGTCTGGTTCCAAATCTGCTGCTGCCCTGCAGCTCGTGTGCAGGAGCAAACAGCAGGGACGGGCTTTGCCCCCCGCTGCCCTCACACTGTCAGAGCCCTGCTGATAGCAGCTCTCCACAGCTGACAGTTTACTCTTTTCCTGAAGAGTACTGCATAGACGTATTTATTCAGTTTTAGGTCAGTGCATTTGCATAACCTGGGCTAAAGTGCCAGCACCTTCCAACAATCCACCTGGGGGTAACGAGGACGGGCGGCTTTCCCAGCCGGTGCCGGGGGCGCAGGAAGGGCGGGCGACACCCGGCCCCTACCTTTTCTTTGTCCACAACTATGAACAGCTCCACGTATCTTGTTTGATGTAGGACTGCTCTCTTTCTCTGTGGAGAAAAGTTTTAGACAACTTCAATTTTATTAATGCGAGCGCAAACAAAAACCCCCATGACACTGTCACATTTCAGTGGATACGACCAGCGGCCTGACCCAAAGCACGCTGCGCCAAGGCGAAACCAGGCCAAACCCAGGAAGTGTAATCCACTGCAATGACAATTCCTCGGTGTTTCACACTGAAATTCAGCTGCGCAAGGATCTCCCGTGTTTCAAAAGTAAGGGACCTTTTTACTTCTGAGACAGGTTTCTTTGGAAAGACAGCACGTGCTTCTGCTAAGGAGCAGGAAGATACTAACAGGGAAACGCCAACAGCCTCAAAGTGAGACACAAGGTTTCTCGTCCTCCTGCTTTTACTGCAATTTTGTTCTTCAAACAAGGGGGACCTTCCCATGCAACTGTTGTTCTGACAGTTAGAGGAATGGAATAAACACCACAGCGTTCTCCTGGCTTCTGCTGCAATAGTTCGTTACAGAGCCTCTCCAAAGAGGGAGATGTTCCTGCCCTTAAAAGCCCCCAAACACTCTGCCTATGAATAATCCAGGTGGCCACTCGGCTTGCATTGCTGCATGCAGCAGGCAGAAGTTGCAACTGCTTTGTTGAAGCAACTGAGTTTTTCAACAGCGTAGAAAGCCCTCTGAATCAGAAACTTCTATGTATGTGTTAAACCCCAGGAAATCTGGTAAGCTGCTTCCATATTCTTAGCTGAACACTCGCAAAACGCATGACGGGACCGTGGAGGAGACACTCACTCGCAGCAGCTGAGTCACACTGGGATGGTGATTCTCCTCCGTGTGCTCCGTTCTGTGGTCAGCAGCCGTTACTCCACACATCGTGGGCTCTTTCTTCACGTTATCCAGACGATATAAAATGTGTTTAGAGCCCGAAGAGGAATCCAGGGGCTCAATTCCATAGGTGATGTTCTCTACTGTCACCAAACCCCTAAAATACGGTAGTGAGAAATCCCTGCATTAAGCACAGAGGATAGTTTCCCATATTTCCACAGCACAACAAAGGAACAGTTATTCTCTGACAACTAAAGGCACGTCTACACCTCAGTGCTGGCGAATGGCACACTGCACTTGCAAGGCTGAAAAGCAGCCTGTCACTGGGCAGGGCATTCACCAGCGCAGCAAATTAACATGTCTGTAAGCAATGAAGTTACAGGCTTTAAGCAGAAATGCTTTAGTTTAATTATTATCACTACTTTGGTGTCTGACGTGGCACTTAAAAAAAAAAAAATCAAAGTCCCAAAAGATGCGGAAATTAGACCAAAGCAGAAAAAAGTTTCCAATCAAATTTGATGTGCGTAAGCTTTAGGGCCGATTTTGTAAAATTTGCAGACTCGTGTTTGACTTTCCATTTTCGCACTATGTACAGTTCTTTGCACTGACCATCTATCCCAATTAGAAAATAAGCCACAATTTGCATTAAAGAACGACTTGGTGTACTCTGATAACAAACTGCAGCTTGCGCAATGGTATTTCCAATATCTGTTAACTACACGAATAAAAGACACCACAGGAAGACTGCACAAAGGCAGCACCACTGCAGCTGGGCTGTGGACAATGAATCCCCGCCTGGCTGAGCAGTAGTTAAAAACAGCAAGAATTCTGTTTCAGGTTCAGCGAGCACCAGACTCACGTGACAGCCGGGACACAAAAGACGAGCTGCGTTACCTGAGCCCCGAGCAAGTGCTGACTGCAACCACAGAGTCCAGGGCGCCCTCCACGTACCCCTGATAGTGGCAGTGATCCTACACGGGAAAGCAAGGGCACGTTACACGGATTCCTGTGTCACCTCTGGCCGTGGAAGTGCCCTGCCTGGCACGGGTACGCTGTGAGCTGAACTTACCACCCGCCTTTGATCTACAGGTGGTGCCATCTGACGCCCTCCCAGCTCTGCACCCCCTTTGCTCACAGGCACCTCAGAACTCCTCGCCTGCCCTCGTGCCACGGGGATTGACGTGCAAGAGGCTAATCAAGATGCTGGGGCACAGGGCTCCAACCGTATCCCTGTCTTCCTAACTCTGCCCAGCAGATGCCCTTCACAGCTTGATGGGGCCAGCAGCTCATGGCACGTTTCAGGTTAAAGCCCCACTCAGTCATTGCACCTGATGCCGCAGCCGGAGCCGGGCTGTTGTCACGGGCAAGCAGGGCTCTGAACCACTGGCCAGCAGCAGCGTTTCTTAACTCGACTGTTATCCATCCTACTCTCAATTTTAGTCCTCCACCCTGCCTCAAATATTTCAAGGCCAGCCCCTCCCTACAGATTTGGGCCAAATCTCTGTTCAGTTTTCTGGAGAACAGCCCTGCACGCTGGGCTTGTACGTGAGCTCTCTCCAGCAAGAAGGGGGCCAAGGCCTCATCACGTCCCTCACCAGCCCCGGCGAGACAGAAGATTTTGTTTTGTCCGCTGTATACACACATTTTGGAAACTAGGCAAGGGGGTAGAATGGGGCAAATACACTCCATCTTCTCTGGCAAGTGCAGTTTTGAACGTTACCACAGGGGTGAGGCAGAGCAGGTCGCCTGCTTCAGCACGGAACACAGAAAGTGCTGAAGGCACACACCAATCCTTTGGGGCCACTGCAACTTCCATGACCTCGCACAGGAAAAGCATTTTTCCTTTTTGTCAATCACTTTTAACCAGGCAGTACATACCCAGCTGACTCAGGTGCTCTATTTTCAAAAACAAGACCCCATGAATCATAAATGACTAACGCTTCCCTCTCAGAGGAACATTGATACATTAGAGCAAAGCCATCAGATATACCCTCATGCTTTTTGTATCACACAAGCTGCTTTTTATTCTTATTCTCCTGAAGCAATTAAATTTTCAAAGGCAACCTATTAGGCAGCCTGCTTGCACAGAACAAGAGGGCTGCGACCGCCTTTGCAGCGCGATAACTCCCACGCCACGCAGGTAACACCCTTCTCAAAGTCTTCCAGACTTGATCTCATCCATCCCTTCTAGTAATTCCCAGATTTCTGAACTAACGAATGGCCTGTCAACCCTCAAAAATTCTTAGAGCCACGAACAGCCAGCCTCGCACAACGGAAAAGATGGCTCAGCAGCTGACCATTTGTTTTCACTGGGGGACCAACCCAGGAGACCAGCGTGTGTGACAGTCAAAGCCAGAGGTGGGTCCCGGGGCCAGCCCGGCCCTGCCCCGCGCGCTCTGCTCCCACCAGCGGCAAGGTCTGTGCTGCCCAGGACAGCACGGCTCAGACAACCACACACCTGACAGCTGCGGCCAGAACCAAGGCTCCTCTCCTCGTGCAGGGCACACGGGATCAGAGGGTGGCCCAGCGGAAAATACAGCTTCTGGAACACAACTCCCTCACCCTGCAGGTGCTCGGGGTTCAAGTCACCTTCAGTAGGGGCATAAAAATAATCAAGAAATCATACCTGGACATCTGGATATTCAGATTGCAACTTTCCCTCCTTATTGTAGGTATAAACTGTGAAATCTTTGGGCAGCAGTTCTCTGTAAGGAAAGGGGAGAGGGAATACAAGAGGAATTTCATTAAATGACCAGCGCTATAACAGGGCACTAAAGATGATCTTAATCAAAAGTGTCACAAATATATAAATTGCAGTTAAATAAGGAAAAATTCAAAAGGAACACCCCGCTCACCCCCCCCAAAAAATTAACAAAGAAATTGTGCATTTCCACACCAAAATCCAAGATATCAAAATGGTGGAACCCTTAATGAAATCAAATCAACCACTTCACCCTGGATAAGTAAAACAAGCATCAGAACTCATTAAATTCTGCTAAAAGATTGCTTTCGTGCAGAATTTTTAAAAAATATTTAAAAAACACAGCACTCAGCCTGCTGCGTGTGACTCCTCTTCCCCAGCACGCAGGAAGTCTCCCACGATTAAGGCTGCTGACCCACGCGGGTAAACCCCTCGATGAGGCCCAGCTGAATGTTACTGAGGGTCAGGGGCTGGGCAAGTGGCAGCTAGAGATCCCCCCGGGGTTGTCACCTTTAAAGAGTTCTGTCTTTTTCCTCCCTTACGAGCACAGTTTTAAGAAGCTCTAGCCCGATAAATGATAACTTCCTGTGCTGCAAGTAGCCCTTTGAAAATTAAACCCAAGACAGACAACATCTACACTGCCTGCAGGTGATGGGTATTAAGACCTCAGATATAAAGTCAGCTTCCTCACTTATTAGTATTTCTGTGCTATTGAGACAGGAAAAACACCCTGAAACAATAAACAAAACACAGGAGAAAGTGAAAATATTTACTTAAAATATAGTTCACTTTGTTTATTTTTAGATGTGAATGGAGAGCGTCATTTCAGCAATTCCCCAGATCCCTTTGAGCAAACTGCTGCTTCCTTCACTGGAGGGGGAGCACCAGGGTTGCAGGAGTTCAACCAAATTTCTGGCTGATAGCCAAGACTCGGTGACTCAATCCACTCTCGCCGCCTCTCTCTGCAGATTCTGCAGAGCCAGCGTGTAACTGCACTTCTCGTAAGGAGCCTCAAGAATGGGAATTCGCATGCTACCTGCCAGCTCGTTACTGGGATGCAACAGATGGAATTTAATAATCTAAATAGATTAATCACTTACTTGTTCTTTTCTAGGTGAATGGTGTATTCTTTTCCCTCTATCGCAAGAGCATACGACTCCTTGTCCTGAATATAAAGAAAAGTTGCATTTCACTTGTGAATTTTACTCATTCTCTGGATGTTTACTCAGCCTTTGGAATCAGCCAGAGTTTGGCAGCAGACCCTCTACCACAGCACCCACACTGGTCCCGGCGCCTCTGCAGCTCGGGGCTGGGCTGCACCCGCGGCCACCTCAGACACAGCTGCAGCAGCAGGTACCGACAGGAGTGAAAGCACGACCTGGAGGGGTGCAGAGCTCTCGCTCTGGGCCGGCACCCCGAGGCGGGAGGGGAGCGGGCTGCTCTGCTGAGCCTGCAGGCCGCCGCCACGGGAACCTGCCCATGGCCACCTGGACACTGCTGCCACGTCCACAGGCTGCCGGCACCGAGCTGACAAACCTGCCTCTTAAACCTGCTACTGCACCAAACCAGGACTAACCGCGTGTGGGTGAGCCCAAAACCTATTTTATCATTGTCCCCACCTCCCGAACCTGGCAGCCCTTCCTGTGTGACTAGGGAAAAGTCACATGAAGGAAGCTATTTCAAAATAGCCTCGTGGTTTTCATATTCCTTGTTTCTAAGACGTCCACAGAAAACTCTTAGTTACAGCTGGAAAAGGACAACACAGGTTTATTCCTGAACATTCAGTGAGGCAGTAGCTCACAGGGCTACAGGCAGCACCTCGGGCCCCCAAAGACAGAGCAGTGGGCAAGCTGAATCGCCTCCCACCAAGCAAACCACCACAGGGGCACCAGGCACCCACTGCCACAGGCTGTGAGGCACTTGTGTTAGTACTAAATTCTGCCAACGTTTGTAAGATCTGTGACTAAACACGCTTGGTCTAATCCAAATGCTTTGAAGTGTGCAGCTGTTAGCTATGTGGCTGGAAAGTACCGGTGGGGGTTGTCGGAGCTGAGCCCCTGCCCAAAGCGGGGCCAGTGACAGGGTTGGCCCCGGCTGCTCACGGCCTCCTCCCGTCAGACCCCAGGCATCTCCCAGGAGAACGATTCCACCACCTCGCTGAAATTTGTTCCGGTGCTTAACCACCCTCATTATGCAATTTTTACACCCAGATCAAAAGCCCATTGAGGCAACTGTACCCTCCAGAGCAGGGAGGTATCTACCATAGCCCAGGTAATGGACCTGCTGTGGGACGGCTGCTTTTTGCTGCTAGGTGAGTCCCATCGTGTTCTGTGAGAATTCCGGGGGGGTTCGAGGTGCACCTCATTAGGAACTAGATAAAGAACTGAAGGCGTTTTTAAGACTGCCCAGTACCTGTACTGAGGAGACATTGGAAGCCTCTCGCCGTTCTCTTCCTAACCTCTGTGGGATTACAACTTCATAGGAAGACAACAGAGAAACCTGCTGGAAACCTAGAAAGCAGAACAGAAACACTGGCTGAAGAAAGCAAGCGCTTGGAGGATAAGGCACAAGGAAGAAAACGCTCTCTCAGGAAAAGCCCCCTCAGGAGGAAGGAGGCAGCCTGTGACTCCAGGTTCAGTCTCCAGCTTATCGCAGGCCCCTGAGGCTGGGCTGCACGTGTGGGGCTGCAGCACTGCCCAGGGCAGATCCCTCTGACGAGCTCGGCCTTTGAGAACCACCACAGCACCTCGCTGCCAAGGCACCACACGTCTGGAGCGGGAACCCAAACAGAGAAAGCCGAAGGCCCTGATGCACAGAGCAAATCTCAGCGCAGAGCACACTCGGACTGCCCCGAGAAAGGCCGGAGAAAACAACACACCAAGAGCAGAGGAGACCCCAGATTTTCCAGAAGGTTTCAAACCGAAAGCTTCGCATTCCAAGTCCTGTCTCACAAGTACCTATCTCACATGCCATCACCTCTCACCATCGGGAATCGGAGCAGTTGACAAAGCAGGTCAGCACCGACAGAACTTGTTCAAGGACACAGAAAGAGCGTCAAAGCTGGGCGCCCTGGGCACAAAGCTGGAGCTGCACCAGCCTCTCTAGATAAGCTCCCAGGGGCTCCAGCAGTTCCTGCGCTTCCCAGTGGCACACGGAGCCAGCCCAGCCCAGCCTTACACCCTGGCCCCGCACACCACGGCCAGACTTCAGACACAAGGCCAGCACTGCTCCTTATGTCCTCAGAGAGCTCTTAAGGACCTTATAAAAACAAGTGAGGTGAAACAAACACATGCAACAAAGCAGCTTTTTGCAGATCACTTTATAAATTATTTGCATATGCAACATCAGACAGATCCTCTGACCCAAACAAAAGTCTATGGTCCAAGTTTTCTTTATAAGGCACCAGTTCATGCAAGCAACTGTTCTGTATCAACCATGTAAACAATAATAACTTACACATGCGAACTACTTTTCCCGTCAAGGGCCGCTGCCTGCCTGTGCCTGGCTCGGGACCTGCTCCCCCAGGACGTGGGAGGTTGGTCGCCCAGGACTCTGGGCAGGATTAAGAGCAACAGATTTACTAGCTCATGGCAATGGAATCAGTGAGCTCATCGGAGGAGCCTGAGCTTCCCAACCCAAAGGCAGGGGGAAGGGAACAGTTATGCTCCTTGTCACCACTTATCTCCAGAAACTATGGCCAGATCTGGGCGGGGGCGGTGAGGGGGCGCTTAGTTTCTGAGATCCTCCGCAGAGTCTCCGAGTGGAACCAAGGCACCACATTCATTTAGAAACCGGCCCTTGGAGCACACCAAAGCTCACACCGCAGCTCCGAAGGCAGCACGAGGGCATCTGTGTGCTCAAAGCCTGCTCCATCGTTTGGGAAAGGGGCAGGAGCCCCCACGCAGGCTTTAAACACCAGGGGTTCCCCAAAAGCCTCCCCGAGCCAGCTCTGCCGAGCTGCAGCGACGTTCAGGTCCCTGCAGAGGCTTCTGCACCCTCTTCCCGTCCCCAGCAGGAGCCACTGCGTGGGCTCGACATGACGAGCAGCACCCAGGCCGGCACCCCGGAAAGTGTCCCAAGGGAAAAGCATGTCCACTCCCACGCTCGGTGTCCCCGAAGAGGAGCAAAAGCAGTGAGATCGCTTCCAGCTCCCTGCAGCACGCAGGCACGGCCGCCTGGAGAGCAGGGATGGACCGACGGCCCATGCAGCAGATCTGTCGGGCGGGCACGGCCAGAGCCAGGCTGCTTCTCAAGCAGTAACAGTGCACAGAAGCTTCATTAATTACCGTGATTGGTGGAAAAAAGGTGTTGAAAAAGCAGAGGTAAACTCCCTGAAAACCGGCTCCCGATAGTGCTGATGCCCCCTTGTCCTGCACTCAGGGGAGGGAAGGGTGGCTGCCTCCCGGGTGAGGCACCGAAAACATTCTGCAGCAAACCACTGCTCTACATCTGCCATTTCCAAACACACATTTCACTCGTATCCAGCCCCGAGCTCTTGCACGTCACTGCTCTGCACTTGTTACTTCCACGCTGCCATCCAGAAGTGCCTCTGTTAGTGGGGGATGTGGCACTGTGACATTTGGCCAGACTCAGAACACACACGCTACAGAAACAGCAGGGCACAGTTAATCTTGGCCGTGCTGGAAAGCAGCGTGCCCCCCCAAAAGCAGCTCGGAAGCAGAAGACAAAGGAGTGAATCATCAGACGAAGCCAGCAAAACTGGGAGGGATTTCTGGGAAGAGTGAAACTCCAAGAGGCTTCCTCTCGGAGGAACGGCACCAAAAGGGTGCAATCTCCAACTCTGAATTCTCTGACAGTTCTCCCCCCACTCTGCCCTCCCTCCTTTCACTACTGCCAGTCTGGGAGGTGGTTTCAGGTACAAAGCCTTATTCTTCCCTTCACTGTGGGCACAACTCATGGGAGGAGGAGGAGGGGTGTTTGTCTTGATTAACAAAGTGCTTCCTATTAGGACAAGCTGAAACATAAGGGTAGGGAGGCACCACCTCACTTCCTCGGGGAACTAAGGAGAGAAAAGCAGCCTTCACGTTAAAAGTTCAAACTGAATGCAAATAGCCTTCCCTCTAACTTTCAGTTCTCTTTCCTCTTCTGGCAAAATCATCCTTCCTCTCCCCACGTTTCAGCACTGACAGGAGTTTCTGGCGGAGTTGTCAGCAGGACACAAGCGCTCCACAGGGGCTGGAGGTGCAGCACAGCCCGTCACCGCCCGGGACACAACGCCCCTTCCCGCAGGTCTCCCCCTGGCACTGACCCTCACTTCACAGAGTTTCCATCCCGACTGCCCCACGCAATATTTCACGCATCGCTGGCAGCCCTCAAAGAGGGCACCAGACTAGTTCATCAAAAATCCAATGAAAGGGACAAGCGCAACGAAGCAGAAATCAGAGCACGCAAGAGACAACCCTGCTCCTAAATCGTCCTCGTAAAAGGGCTCGTTACAGGGGACAGGCCCTTCTCCTGCTGAGAAACACAAACCTTGAGAGCTATGTCCTTAATCCAGTAACACATGGGCCACTCCAAGTCCCACCCAGCACCCAACGCTCAGACCCCATCCCACCCGGGGAAGGAAAACACATTCAACCCGACCTAATTAGCACAAGGCGGAATTCTCACGAGGACAAGGTGGTCTGCAGCCTTCGCAGCAGCCTGGAGAAACGCTGGGTTCCAGCACACTGCGAGGGCACTCGGACACGGTCCTGCAGCCACCCGGCGTGGCGGTGCCGCCCTCCAGTCGAGGAGGTTATTATCCATGAGATCCATCCATGAATTTCAGTGCAAGGTGGAGGTGGTTTAATTCATAGCAACGAAGGAAAGGCAGAAGTGACAGCAAAAACCCAGCCCAGACACTCAGCACTTTTCCACATAAGCTGTTTGAAGATATTTACACTGTCTTCCCAAGATACACTATGTTTTGTAGCTTCTTCTCCACCCCCTTTCAAGACACTTCACTGCAATAGAAGTATGGTTCTCAAGCACAGTAGTTTGCAGTAAATTTTCCAGTAACTTCCAGGACTTCTCGTACTCGGGTGCTTCCTGCAGTGGCCAAGGCTGCTGCCGGAGTTGCACCACATGTCACCACTGACAACACGCTCTTATCAACCATCCTTGGGCGTAACACGAGTCGAGATTGTAGTCCCAAGGAGAAAAAAAACAATTGCACCCACTATATTTATCTTGTCTCATTAGAGACTGCCTTTAATTATCAAGCATTGAAGGCAACTAGGAAGATGTGAATCATCTTCCCCTCCCCGCCCCAAATCCTCAGTAGGAATTCTGTGCGTGCTCCAGGGCATGTGGGAGCTTGAAAACCATCAAAACGTGTCATGGCCGTGGGGGTCTCCAGACACTGGGCCCGTGGTGCTCGCTCCCCACTCAGCAAAGGCCAAGCTGCATCTCCTGCCTTCAGAGACCTCAGCGAGCAGATGGCTGAGCAGTCCCAGAGACACAGCACACAGGTACACCCACCCGCACTGAACAGTCCACCCCAACTACCACCCGCTTTCACCAAAACTCCTTCCCAAGCCTATTAGAGTGAGGTCAATGATAAACTCTTCAATGGAAGAAGAAAAAAAAAAAAAGAAATGGGAAAGTTTAGGCTGTAACCTATTACACCACAAAACAAAGTAATTTCATAAAAACCAGCTCAGCAGCATGTGAGCAGCTCATCAGCTTGGGCTGCAGAAGCCGCTAAGTAGGAACATGCACAAAACCACCCTCCCCACCCCAAGGAGGAGGAGGAGTAAGAGTGGACTTGGGGACAAGGCTCCAAACCACCCCCTGTGCAGGGCAGGGCCTGCAGAGTGCTGGGGCTGCCAGCGGGGCTCGGCAGCTGCTCTGAGCACCCCTCTGGGACCCCCCACTGTCAGCACCACAGGTGATACCGAAGAGCACCATCCTGTACAATAAGCAAAACACCAAAATTCCCCTGACACTACCCAGATTTGTTCACAGCTGCCCACCAGCGAAACCCCGAGAGAGGACACAGCACCACCATTTACTTGTAATTCTCTACTTCCATTTACTCAGTCCCTAGGTGAGAGTGGAAATAAAGCCAGGAAAAAAAGTCAGCACCACACAGAAGTAAGATATTGCCAACGTTCTCTTTGGATTTATCCTGCGCCTGCATCCACCCTGGCAACTTTAGATACTCCACTATAAACGTAAAGGCTTGACCAAAACCCTATTAATCCCAGAGCATCAGTTAGCAGCAATGAGTTTTAATCTATTAGCTGCGTGCGTGTCTGAGTCAAAAGATGCACATTGCTAAAGCATTAAATACAGAAGGTCATTAAATTAACCGTTGTTGCAATCAATGACAATTGATGGATGAGGTCAGCTGCACCAGGCGGGCAGTAGACCGACCAGAACCTGTGCTGGGAGTCCAGGCAGCACCCCCAGCCCCCCAGCCCAGGGCAGGGGCAGTTCCACCCCAAGTGTCCCCCACAGTGTCCCCAGCGCCCCGCGCGTTCCCCTCGCTGTGTCTGACACCGTCCCTCCAATCCCCAAACGGGGTGGACTCTTCGCTCCCTTTCTGTCCAGCTGCAAAGTTTTAGATTTCTGAAGTGTGCTGTCACACTCCCCTCCCCATTCCTCAAGTAACACAATATTCAGTATTTCCTCGTGGAACCCATTTCTCAGATCCCTGAGCATTCATGTTAGAGCCCACCTGTCCCGAAAAAGGATCCAAACAGGCCAGACTCCCCCAGCGAGGCGCCCCTTGGAGTGCCACACTGTGTGTTTATGTATCTCCACAGGTCAATCTTTCTCCCATGACAGACAGCCCGGCTGACTCACTTGCCATTTAACCTGCTCCAACACTCATTTCCTTCCCTGCCAACATGCTCCTGCACCCCATTTTTCACTCTCATAATGCAGACAGTCATTTCCACCTCAGCAGAACACTGCACCCGTCCTCTCAGAGCCGCAGCCCTCTGCTGTCATTTCTCTCACGTGTCCACATCACTGGGGTTGCTGATCCTTCCTTTAAGGGCCCCACGAGGTGCAGGGCACCAACTCCAAGGTCAATGTGCATCCCCTGTACCCCATTCCCAAAATCACAAAGGACTTTGCCAAGCAGTATCTGTCTGAGGAGAAACGTGTGTGACCTGGCTTTCAGATGTCCTTCCAGAATGACACCTAACACCCACAACTTCTTCAGTGTCTGTCTTCAATCCATTACATACCAGGAAAAGCACCTTTAGGTGCAGGCGACCCCTCCGCTGACAGCTGTAGTAAGATTTACTCTTTGGGTTACTGGAAACAAAAATCTCCTTGGCTTCTACTATGTAAATATTATCCAAGTCCACTTAAAAATATTTAGAGATTTATACAAAACACCAAGCTAACAAATTTGCTAATAGCAGGAGCACTTCCTACGAAGCCAACAGCTCCAGTTCCTCCCAGACCTCAAAGGCCAAGGAGGGACTTGATGGTGCTGCACCCCCAAAGCGCCGGGGAACACCTGCCCAGCTGTTGTTCTGCAGGTGCTGCTCCTCCTCCTGACTCTTCCCCCCATCACCTCCTGCCCTGGCTCTAAATCTTCAGACCAAGCAGGTCTCCTTGAGTCACAGGAGGAAAAGATGACTGAATATCACAGCAAGAGAAGGAAATTCATTGATTTATTGCTCACCTGGAATATTCCTTTAACATTAAAGCTGGCAAGAACAGTCCATGTAACTTCTCTCAGTATTTTACAGGGGGGGTTGGACGTTAATGAGGGCACTGAGCTCTTCTACAGCAATATTTCCTAGAAAATTCTTACCTCCCTCTT